GACGTGGGCTCCGCACGCTCTTAAATACCCTTGGAGCTTTGAAAGTGTGTGAGTCTTGAGGAAAAGGTTAGTTTCCAGATACTTGATAGTTTTTGTTTCTGTTTTGAGTGATGTACTGTTTCTCATTTTATTTTCCAACTAGAGGCCAGGTGCACGAATTGTGCACCAGTGGGGTCCGGCGGCCCAGCCTGTGGGGATCCGGGAATCCGGCTCTCCGACATCCCCAGGGGTCCCGGATTGCGAGAGGGCGGTTCTCGGGTGCCGCACCCCGGAATCGGGCTCCCTCCTGTCTGGTTCCTGGTGCGTCACCCGAGAACCACGCTGCCAAGTGACAGCAGCTTAGCAGCTCCTGTGTTGAGCATCTGCCCCCTGGGGGTCAGTGCGAGTCATAGCGACTGGCCAGTTGGCCGGTTGCTTTGGCTTTTATGTATATAGATTGGGTGTTACTGCTGTAAAGAAAAGTTATTGAGCCCGGCCGGCCTGGCTCAGGGGCTGAGCATCGACCTAGGAACCAGGAGGTCACGGTTCGACTCCCGGTCAGGGCACGTGACCGGTTGTGGGCTCGATCCCCAGCGTCGGGCGTGCAGGAGGCAGCCGATCAATGATTCTCTCTCATCATTGATGTTTCTCCCTCTCCTTCCTCTCTCTGAAGTCAGTAAAAATATATATATTTTTTAAAAATTAAACAAAACAGCATTGTTGGTGTGCAAGAAAGTGTCCACCCTTCTTAGAGATGTGCTCTGAAGTGTGTAGGAGTGAAATAACATGATGTCTGAGGTTTGGGTTCATAAACTTCAGGAAAGAAAAAGGAAACGAGGGGGAGGAGATGCGCAAACACTTGCACTTTGTAGAATCCACGTGGCAGGCATCTGAGTTTATTACGTTACTGTCTCTCACTACGCATGCTTGAGGTTTTTCATAACAAAATACTTAAAATTCTCTACTACGGTGAGCCCTTAACTACATTTGGTTTACTCCTAAAAATTAAAAGTAAAAGCAACTTTACTTACGCAAGGTCCACCATGCAGTTTAGTTATGTTAACCTTTTTGTATCTGAAAGAAATTATATTTTGAAATGATTATTTTTGCTCTATGATATAAGTTATGACTTTTACTTGATAATCTTTAGCTAAGTTTGAGAAGAAAACATTCTGCTAATAGTGAATTCTTATTTTAGTAAGTATTTTAAAATATCTGTTACATAGATCTTTATTTGTCAAAGAGAGTGAACATATAAAATATACTCAGCCTTAAGTCAAATATAGAAAATTCAAAGTAATCTTGAATATTTAATAAAAGTATTAGAAAGAGAATGTACATGAAAGTATGCATTTGATGAAAGTTAAGCCGTTACTAGTGACCTTAAAGAAATAATATCTATAAGGGGATACTATGAACAATTGCACGTCAATAAATTAGATGCCCTAGGTGTAATAGACAAATTCCTAGACACATACAAGTTACCTAATCGGACTCAAGAGGAAACAAAATCAACAGACTTATGTCAGGGAAAGAGATCGAATCAATAAAAAATCAAACTAATAAAAGTTCAGAATCTGATGTTTTCATTAGTAAATTCTAACAGGCATTTTAAGAGGATTTAATACCAATCCTTCTCAAACTCTTCCAAATGATAGAGGAATAAAACTCCCTAATCATTTTATGAAGCCAGAATTACCATGATAACAAAGACATCATAAAAAAGGGAAACTACAGACAAATATCCCTCATGAATACGATGCAAAAATTCTCAACTAAATACTAATAAATTGAAGCCAACTGAATATGAAAAGATTATACATTCTGATCAAGTGGTTATCCATGAGTGCACTGTGACTCAGCCTAAAGTTATCAGCCAATGTAATAACATATTAAACAAAGGGGGGAAATATGTTTTTCTCTCTTTAAAAAATATTTTTTTAAAATTGATTTCAGAGAGGAAGGGAGAGGGAGAGGCAGATGGAAACATCAATGATGAGAGTGAATCATTGGTCAGCTGCCTCCTGCACACCCCCTACTGGGGATCGAGCCCACAACCCGGGCTGCCCTGACCAGGCAGCTGAACCATGACCTCCTGGTTCGTAGGTCGATGCTCAGTCACTGAGCCACACCGGCCGGGTTGTTTTTCTCAATCGATCCTTGTCCAGGGCAGACACAGCGCCCTCACCTCCAGGGGGTTCTGGTTCTGCATGGTGCGAAGGGGAGCACAGGCAAGAATGGAAGAAATGGGGGAGCAAGTCGTGGAGGAGGCTGGAGGGAAGATGGAAGGAGTAGGAAGCCCTCGGAGGAGGTCCCGCCTGTCGTAGCCGCCGTTAGTCTCCTGCCCTGAGAGGAGGGAGGCGGGAGGGAGGCTTACAGGATGGTGAAGCAGAGGTGGCATTCCCCGTTGTAGGTGGTCTGGTCGCTGCCACAGATGGGCTCGCTTGGCTTGATGTAGGAGACGAACCAGCACCGGTTGATATTGTTGATGCAAACGCCCTGGAGGTGAGAGCCAGACACTTGTGGGTGCCTGCGTCCAGGTCCTCCGACCGTTCTCACTGCCACTGGGGGAAGGTGTCGACCCCGATGGTGGCTGTTAGTGATGGGGGGGGGGGGATAGATAAATAATCCTATTATTTTAAAATCTTAGAACACATATATGTACTTATATGAATAGGGGATTCAGTTTCTTATACGTGAATAGGGGGTTAAGTTTTCCTTAAGTTTCCTTCCCAAGGCCTGTGCCAAGCGATGGAGGTGACTCAGCTGTGACTCCAGCAAGTAGAACTGATAAGCAGGGTCAGTCCGACCCACCAGGAATCAAAACACCATCTCATCACCCGGTGACTAAGGACAGTAGCTGCCGGCTGGCTGGGCGCCTCCAGGCCTGCACGTAGCTGCATTCCGTCCCCAGCCTCACCCCGCCCCTTCCCCTGCAGTCCTGTCCCTGCACCTGCTGGGAGATGGGATCTGAACGCCTGTAAGCGCCCTGCCTTCTTGGTTGGCAGGCCTTCTCAGTAAACGCCTTCTAGGATGCAACCCGGCCTTCGTTACAGGACAGGGTGACGGCAGCCCGAGCCCCCCCCCCCCCGGGGCTTCCCGGTCACATCAGGTTTCGGAAGGGAAAGTGTCCCTCAAGGTTAGACTTTCCTAAGGAGCGTTGCCGCGTGACTCGTGTGTGGATGCCACAGACAGCAGTGGCCCAAACGCGGCAGGCGCAGTGGCGTTAGGATGTAGCTGGAAAGGGACAAAGTGACTACATGCGGGGCCTTGCTGTGCGGGAGGCAGGATGTGCGCCTTCGCACATCCCAGCTGAATGTCCCCCCGTGCAACACACAGGCCCGGATTTCAGCCATGACTTCCTCACCCATCGAATGATGCAGAATGCTGCCTTCTAGCCCACAAGAGAGTTGTATGAAGCAACTGGGCTAAGGAATGGGAAGAGGGCTCAGGGACATGGAAAACGCGCCACCCATAGGCGACGACTCAGCTTTTATGGGGGCGTGATTCCCACGCCAGCCCCCTCCGGCCCCCAACTCCCAGCAGACAGAGCTGGGGGCACGGGGCTCCTCCCATTGCTGGTCCTCGGAGGCCAGGAGGCAGGCTCACCTTTGTCTCTTGGACGCTCGCCCCTTGGCCAGTGGGAACAAGGAAGTCTGGAAGACAAAACAGCTTCAGAAAGTCCCGCTCGGCCTCGGCCTCGGCCTCGGCCTAGGCCCCAGGGAAGAGCGCGGGGGAGGGACCTGGCTGGCCGCCAGGCCTTTGATCCCTCGATGAGGCTGCCCTTGCCCTGAGGCCCGGAGCCCGGTGCCCGGAGGGTGGAGAACGGGGGAGCGCCTGCCTTCGCCGCATGCATGTGAGAGGAGACCTCCCGTATACTTGGATCTTGTTCTTAAAATTTTAGTCAAATAATTTCTACCTTTTGGACTGGGTTGTGGAATTCATTCACATAAAGTTTTATGATGTAGTTAGATTTGATCTGGCATTTTACTTTTTTAAAAAAATATATGGAGCGCTTCACGAATTTGCGTGTCATCCTTGCGCAAGGGCTATGCTAATCTTCTCTGTATCGTTCCAATTTTAGTATCTGTGCTGCCGAAGCGAGCACTGGCATTTTACATTTTGTTTTCGATATGTCTCATCTCTTTTTGCTTCCCTGTTCCTCTTTTGCTGCATTAAGTGAATATAATCGAGTGTAACATTGTAATTCCCATAATTTTTCACTATTTTTCAGAATATATATATTTTTTAAAAATATTTTTTTATTGATTTCAGAGAGAAGGAAGAGGGAGAGAG